ATGAGGGAGTTGCAGCTGTGAATAGCGTACGGTAGAAACTAATACGGTAGAAACTAACGCGCGAAATAATCGCGACACGTTTGCCTTACGTCTCGAGACATAAAACTATTCCGCGTTTGATATCGCTCGCATTCGACGGAACAGATGTCCCGATCGTTAAAACGGAAGATTTGCATATTTACCGCGATCGATGTTAACTGCGAACTGCGTTTCGTATCGCGTGACGTGATCGCAAAAGCTATTAGTTCGTTAGTCTCGACCTGTGCCTGATACTGTTTTTATTATTATGTCAGCAAACTGGCAGTAAACTGGCAAATTTCTGCACAGCCGTATATGTCCCCGTGCATTGATTTTTACTGAACGTTAAAACGAAGAACGCGCGCGCGCGCGCGCGCGAGAGAGAGAGAGAGAGAAAGAGAAAGAGAGAATAAAAAGTCCGCGATATCAAATCGTATTACGGGGCAACAAGCTTTCACGTCGCTTCAAACTCGATGGTCGTTAGGCGCATCGATGGGGCCGTGGAGAGTCTCAGGACAATCCAGGGTACCGTAAGAAGGTACGTTCGGGACAATAACCGTTAAAGTTCTACGTGAACTATCCTGAGAATTGCTGTGACCTGCCGTCTTAGCCTATAGGGTATTATCGATACTTTCTATATCTATCGCCGTTAATTAACGAAAGTAACCTGTGGAACACAAGTCGACAGCTGTGTGTCGTTTTCACGATTTACGGCATAGCATCGTAAAGTACATGCGAGGATGTAAGGTACATGTAAGGTACGGTACGTATAAAAGATAAATGCGTTTATTATTTTATAGGGTAGTAAATAAGATTTACGAGTCATTATAAGATAGCAAGTAAGATTTACGACTCATAATATCGTGACTTATAACATTTTCTTATATATTTATAGTAAAAAACAAAGAAAGTTATTTTTGAAAATAATCGGTAACCGGGTAAAAAAATTTTTCTTCTTAAAAGGAGAATTTATTCACATTTTGAATGCATAATTTCGCATCGCGAGATATGCGAAAATGCGCCTGGCTGAAATATTTGATTTGCCAGAGTGTATGTAAAAATTTCATGTCTTTCGGCAAGAGAATTTTTAAAACGATGAGTCAAACTGAAATGTTTATGAAGTATATATACTCTTACTGATACCACACGGCCGCTAAGCTGCCCGTAGATAAATCTATAGCTTCCTTTTCTCATGCCATCGGCTAGAAAAATAGGGCGAATGCATTTATGCGATGAGCAGTTGTTTTATACAACAGATTAATCACTATCTTGCATTTGAAATTTTTACTTTAATTTGCAGTTTTTAATATAATATACGTACATCAACTTCTTCAGACTACAAATTATGAAAATAATAAATGCGTAAAAAATACAAACGTTTATAAGCTATCGGGAAAACAGAATTTTAAGTTAAACCGATCGAATGTGAGAGAATTATTCATCACTAACGAAACCGGGAGACACAAATGACTTTGCTTAGCGCGACGAGGTGAAGAGGGGCAGATTCGCGCTACGCTCGCTGAATACGTATACGTATAAAAATAGCTCGGCTCTCCGAGCGCGCCGCGCGTCGATATGATTTCGCGCGAACGGAGTCTGACGATTTCAGTCATCCTATGAACTACGGCAATTGCGACTAAATTATGCCATTCGACATCCCGGAATGAAGGAGGGAAGAAAAACGCGCGTTCCGCGCTCCATTCCCGCGATCGCAGATGCGAGATAACTTTTCTCTCCGCTCGTCGTATCTTCCGCGCTGATCCCAACGACGAATGGGGTCATCCTCCAAGTTTTTCGAGTTCGGCCATCGAGCTTGCACAGCCGGAGACAGAGACAGAGAAAAAGAGATGGAAAGAGAGGGAAGTCTAGAATTTCACGGTGCTCCGCGCGAACCTCTTTTCACGCTCTCCTTTGAATGTATACAGCACTTCGATAATTGTCACGATCGTCGTAAAGATGAATGGATAATTTGAATAGACAGGTAAATTAATCGTCGCGCCAACTGATTTATCTCGCGAATAGTTTCATTTCATAGTAAATCGTCGATTTTATCCACTTGAATTTTTTTTTGTCGTGGATTATGAGATGATATCGCGATCGACTCGACTTTGCGTGAATATCACGAAGCACTTTCTTCCTGTGGTTGTTCCAATATTCCCTGCCAATCAAAAGAAATGCGACGAGACCGTTATTAGCATTAAACTGCAGAATTTCTATTGGACATATTTTCTCTATTCTAACACAAACGAAGCAAAGGGAAAAAGTTATAGGCCAAACGATGAGAAAAATAGAGCGTTACGTATATTCAGATTGGTACATGTTCCATTATAAAATTTCGAACGGCAGTGATGGCAAATATTCCAGAGCAAATTAATACGGTTTGCGATGTGCGCGTCGCGATATGTTATAAAAAAAAGAGAGAGAGCAGGGGGAGAAAGAGGGAGAATGTGATTGAGATTACCTGCTATATTGAAAAATCCGGATATCCGTAACGCCGTAGCGCAATGCGGAGCATCCACAAATCCGACAAATCCCAATTTCATCCGTACCATGGACGAATATTCCGGGAGTCGAAATTTCAGCTCTACCGGATTTCGTAAAACAACATTTCCGCCTAGGTTGACGCAACCCACGCTTATCAGCGCATCGCGTCAAACATCTAATCAAGGAAATTTCGAAAAAAAAATAGAGAAAGAGAAAAAATTATTACACCCGACACTTTCATAAAAAAAATTAAAAAATATGGAAGAAATAGTACAAAAGAGGTTAAAGAGAATATCCTACATGTGTATTGCGTTTTGTACGAACGTTGCGATAAAAGCAGCTGGGTAGTCTCTGATCCTGAGTTTTTAACTTCGCTTGCACTCCGTTAAATTAATTTGCGCACAAACCATGGTTAAAACGCATCAGCCATAAAACATTACGATTTATTCCTAAGAGAAATGAGTATTGCTTTAGTGCACCAAGTCTTGATTTATTCAGAGAAAAATTCTATGTTTTATATGAATTCTGGGAGAAACACCGTTTTTCATATTTATCGTCTGAAAGTAAGGAAAGTAAGGAAGTGTGTGAATATTTTATAGTGGAATAAATAAATAATCAAAGAGCGACGTAACTTAATCTGTCTTGGATATTGCATTTGGTGCTTTTAGCGATTGAAACCATGACTGACGGAATTCGCTTTTCTTGAAATAGGACAACGTTGCGGTCTGACACAATTTATTACTAACGTAATGTAAACGGAATCCAAGATTCCGCATGCCGAAAGCCTTAATTGTTCCTAATAATATCGCGTAACGCATAATGTATGCATCGTAAGATCAATCATACCGCGATCATCCGCGTCACACGAATTTCCAGAACGAATTCGTTGTTCTCGAGGGAAGTTCCAGCGACCTGATACTGCAAGAGCTATTATTGCGCTTGCAACGGTCGGACCGCAAAGGTAGTTAACACGCGCGATACAAATTGCATAATCTAAACGGAGAATTGTGCCATGAAGGGGGAGGGGAAAGGGGAAGGATCGCAGGAAACGTGATGCGGCGAAGTGGTATAGGGGCAAGGGCAACGGGAGCGAAATCTTATCATCGATATCCACTGGGATTTCAAGTGCCAGGTAAACAGACTCGTATTTGAGATTTCCCATGCGGGGTTGACAGAGAGAGCGAGAGAGAGAGAGAGAGAGAGAGAGAGAGAGAGAGAGAGAGAGAGAGAGAGAGAGAGAGAGCGGGGGGAGGAAGAGGAAGAGAGAGAGGTCAGTTTGGGAGCCGGAGGGAAACGGAAACGGCGGAACGAGTCGAAACTAGGAGGATAGCTATAAGGGAAGACGCCAGAGGCGAAAGTGCAATCGAAAAGCAGGAGAGAGAGAGAGAGAGAGAGAGAGAGAGAGAGAGAAGAAAGAAGAGGATAACAGAAATCCTTGAATGGTCCGTGCGTTCTCGTGGACGATTCGATACGAATAAAACCAATAGATCCTCTAAAAGATCTCCATTGGATAAACTTTTATTCGCATTACGAGTCGAGACCTCGATTCGCGCGGACCGGAGAATTACACATCTTCCTTTCATCCTTGGGCCGTCCGCTTGTGAATTACGAGCCTCTCAACTCTTTCCGTCGTGCATTAAGAGTGCATAATGGTATGCGGTTAGCCGACCTTGTTTTCCCCCATCCCTGTTTCCTCCAATTTTCTCGCGTGCATTTTTAAGCGGCGACCGAGAGCAAACGGGCTTTTCATTCAATTGAGCGCGTATATTTTCACGAAGCCCTATATATTTCACGCGTGAAAATCACTGACGCGTCAGTTAATTTGTCATACACACCGGCGGAACTTTATTACGGCAGATTTCTCCGGTGATTTGGAGTTTGTCAGATATTCGGCGAATGCAAATGCGCGGGCGCGTTTATGCGACGAATTTTACTGCGTTGTCAAGCGGAGTTAGAACATTGTCATGTAGTTATTCACGTTATCCGCGATGATGCGACCCCCCGCAGTTCCCGGGTTGATGGAATATTCGTCGTAGAACGCTTTTAGAACGTATATACATATATATATATATACGCGGATTGCCCGCGTTAAATGCCGACAGCCTTGAAAACTGCGGTGTGAAATAAAATTCGAGCTCGTTCGACCCGTTCGTATTTTGTTCATCTCCCAGTCCCTCTGCCTCTGTCACGCGCTGTCCGTATCCCGCAAAATTTCCTCGTGGAATGTCCGCTCGCCTCCAATGGTGGCGAAAAAATTACGGCGTTAATCGCAAAAGTGTGTCGAGTTAATTTTCGGTACATTTCTCCCGCGGCGGGTCTCTGTTAAATGCACTGTTTTTCCGCTCGGGGATCGTTAAAGCGACGCGAATATAATTTAATAATTAAGCATACCGGAAACGCTTGCTCATCATTGCACCGAGCGCCGGGAAAGTCCGACGGAAACGAGAAGCGAAAAAGAGCGGCGACGGTGATAAGATGCCTTCGCAAAGAATTAAATATGCTCGGGTTCATTTATCGCGCAAGCAACACATCGCGCTATTAGCGCGTCCCAACTGGAGAAGACTTCGTAGAACCGATCCGAATGTCCTGGTATATATACGTTTTCTATTTTCATGATAATATTCCTTCGTTTATATTTATTCGGAAATAAGGGGAACGTCTTTTGAGGAAGTTTTATTATTTCCTGTAATACTACGTATCGGAAGAGATTGGAATAACGCTTTCCGATAGTATCACTCGGCGTCTGCATCCGCCGCTCTGGGACTTCATTAACGGAACCGAGATCGTGTCTTTAATGCCAGGGCAGCGCGCGCTCTCCTTCTAAGTAAACTCGGATTTCGCAATTGAGATAGCACGAAATAAGAAAATCGAATGAGACGTCACCTGCTCCGAATATTTAAGGACGTTAAGTACAAGTTGAGAGATATCCTCCAGCGTGAAATCAAACAGTCGTTATGAGAGACAGAGCGTTCTTCCGCTCGGAAAAACGTTCAGTTGAAAACGATCGATGGTGCAGATGCTCGAGCGGCGTTCGCGCACGCTAAAGGGGCCTTTGTGTCTTTCCTCGGATACTTATATCGACGTATATATGTATTTTCAGGCGCGTCCTTTTACAGTTCCGCGCGCGGTTCTCAGGAGCCGCGCCTCGAGGCGCATCCGGGTTATGGCGCAACCGAAATACGTAACCAAGAAATACGATCCCGCGTAAGTGCACAGTCGTCCGCTCTTGTACTCGTCAGGTTATCGCGAGTCCTCTAGAAAATTTATTATCGCGCAGAGCGGCGCCGCCCCCTTACCCGCGCATTCACCCGAAGACGCTTGCGGCGAGGAGCACCAAGCGTATCGTTGATCTGGCATTGCCCAAGAGAAGGTGCACATCTATTTCCTCGATGCTGAAGACGGTCTTGATAAGAAACTTGAGTTCAAAATCTAAATTAATATTATAGAGATCCTGAGAGGTTGCAAAATACTTCAATATTTTAAGATACTTGTATATTACATTCATTTTCTGAGGTAAAGTTACTTAAAGAATATGAATTCTTATTTTTGCTATTTCAACGTCAATCGCACTTTCGATAATGTCGGGAAATTGATAGTTGAGGCTTGATCGATGATATATGTATGATGACTTAAAAGCGATACCTTAAACGTTAGAGTTCTGCTGGAGACGATGAAATTGGCAGCTACCAAAAACATGAAGGCAACCGTGAGCGATCTGCTGGTGAAGGTTCGAAAGTCGCGGTACCAGCGGTATCGTGTATTTTGCAACAGGCGTCAAGAACGAGAAGCTAGGAAAAAGTAAGGCCGATACATTTCCCACCATCATGTCACTTTTTTTCCCTGCGAACGACACGCGCATCTAAGGCACACAATCTCTTCGCCATATTCGCACAAGTAACCGATCTTCAACGGTGAACAAGAGGGATACGGAAAAAATCATGACTATTTTAATCGTTGCAGAAATTGCAAGACTAAACAAAAACCGTGAATTTTTATATCAAAATTCCTTTCATTTCCTTGTCTCGGAAATATCGCGAAATTTATTTAAAATTTTTAATGAAATCCGCGAGTGTGAACTGCTGCGAGATAAATAATTCAGAGATATGGACAGGAATTATATTAATTACCTGTTAAATAATTAACTTGATTTCATAAACCCACAAACAATACCGGTGGGCAAGTAACAAAACGTAAGCTTATAAAGCCTTCTGTATTGATCTCATTGTAATTGAATGCAAATTCTACGTTTAATTAACAAAAGGTCATCTGATATTGCACCGGAAGTAATTATTAATAGTGCACAATGAAATTCGAGAGATTGCACTTAGCCTGGGCATTTATTGCAATGGTTACAATCATTGATCAGGTTACAATCAGAAACGTCAATTTGATAGTTCTCTGTAATAAACCGCAGTATATACGGCACATTTCACTACAATCCGTCACAATTGTCGCCATGCACTTTTCACCTTTATAGATATATTAATTTTAATTTTTTATCAGTGGCCAACGATTATTATCAAAATCGTATCAGAAATATCTCTATCGCTTTCAAAGAATTTGAAATTATCTAACTGTTAGAAGAAATGTGAGAATTTGTTTTTCTTACGATTGCAAGCAATAAGCACGGATTTATAACAATTTATTATTTCCATCTCCGTAATTTGTATAACCGACATGAATTGATAAACTGCGATCGTTAATAACGTAAGTCTTTTTAAGCCACTGATGGAACGTTAATCAATCTCCAGTTGATTTTTTCTCAATAAAGCGTCTTTAAACCCAAATTTTCGCGATAAAATGTTCCGCTCTCGCTACCCAGGAGAAAACGAATGGCGAAACTACGCAGAGCTCTCACAAAACCGGAAGAGTGGCAAAGGCACATGCGGGTCCTGGAAAGACTGGCTGCGCCCAAAGTCGCCGCGAAACCCAAAAGGAGGAAACCCGTAAGCGACGTCGCTTCCGCTCTCTCATAAATCAATATTAATCGATCTAGATAAAAATGTTGGACGCGGCGCGGATTCCGGCGAGGCCGTCCGCTCCCTCGCCCGCTCACTCGATCGATCGATCGATCGCACGCTCCGATATTTTCAGGCTAAGAGAAAGAAGTGGAGGCCGATCGACTTGGAGCGAATATACCTTATGGCGTCACCGATCGTCCGACGTGTGCCCAAGCTGAAAGAGCCTCTCGAGGTGCCGAGGCGCGCGCTCATCTATCGTATCACCAAGCGAATAGAGATACTCGCTACTCGAAAGAAACGTCCGGAGATCCCATTGCGAATACCAGGCGCCGTTTCGCCGGCCGCGGCCAAAGCTATCGGTAGTAACACGCATCTCGCACTGCATTTACGACCGTTGCCATTTGCTTCACTGTTGCGATCCTTCCGCTTCGATTTCTCCGCTCCGATACGCGGAGGAATCGTCGCCATCGATCTGGGGGAAAGCAACGTTCTCGCGTTGTTACCTATATCGGTTCCCCGCACCAATACTATTACACGCTATTGGATGTCGTAAGTAAGCTCATACGCGGGGTGTCCCAGCGGACATCTTCCCATCGAGATTTCAACGCGAACTCTAGCTACATTTTTCCTTGACGAGCATTTCATGAAAGAAGTCACGTTATTTGTTAGGAATTTTTAAATATAAATTTTAACGAGAATACTTGAGAGATATAATACTGGGAGAATCGAGCGGCGAATTAAAATGCCGTTGTGTTTATGTCTCGTTAAAATTAACTGAAGAACAAATCTTTGCATATTATATTATAATATGAAAAAGCACGATTGCATTTTTTTATATTATATATAACATTATATAAAAAAATGAATTTTTTTTATTAACGCGTGTTATATTTTTCTTCATTCTCTATTATTCTTGACGGAATATTGCGTTTGGTACCGTATCTCGGTATCGTATCTCGTATTCTGGGACACCCTACGTAGTAGATCCATGATTTCGTCGGCCCCACACTCCGCTACATCAGGAAAGACGACGGATTTGCTCGTCGGTGGTTGCGACTGTTCAATAGCTCGTGCGATAACATCGAGGTTTCGCAAGAATATTTCACATATATTGCGGAATAAAAATAAAATTGCTCTATATATTTTTAACAATTGTAACAATTGTAACGCGCACCTTTCGGTGTCCATCGAGCATCGATGAAAAATAAATCTCGGTCAAATTACGGTTCTGCCAATGTCGATGGGCGAAATTTTTTTTTTTTTTTTTTTAACGGAATCGTTAATTGTTTCGGAGATTTGGCAAAAATTCATGAAATTAATAGTTTCCCACGTACGGTGTACACTTCCGATAATCGATCGACATCGAATATTCCGCTATTAGTTTCGGATATCACTGAATTCGTGATATAATGCAGAATTGGCGTTATCTTTCCGTTGAACCATAACTGCGAGGTAACGATTTTGTAGCGTTTGATATGGACACAGGAGAGATAAACGGGACACGATCTACACATTAAGCCTGCGGCACACGAAACGTGTTTTGTTGCCGATCTACCGGCAATGCCGTCGCTATGCTTACTGTACTGCTCGATGCAGACTATCCTGCCCGCAGCGCTATTCCATGCCATAATGTTAGCGGTTACTCTCACCGGTATTGTAATTATTTAATGAGAACGTCGCTCGCAGTGACGTCGTCGTTTGTTTTCCGATATTATCTTTCGCTCGATAATTCTTCGTCACTTACGCATTTCTACGCGAACGCAATATCTCTTTCTCTCCCCCCCCCTCCTTTCTCTCTCTCTCTCTGTCTCTCTCTCTCTTCCATGTGTTTCTGCTATACATTCTATCGCATATATTATATTTTATATAACTTTTATTTATATCAGTATTTTATTTTATTAATTTTTCTTTTATTAAATTTTTTACGTGGAATTTTTTGTAATCCTACACTGAATGTTTGCTACATTTTATCGTCATTTATTTATACTTTTTCATATTTATGTTGATTTTGCTGCTTTAGCTATACTGTCCCGAGAACCGGACAACTGAAATCCCAAGATACAAAATAAATTACATCTATCCGTCTATCTTTCCCACAATTCAGCCATTTCAGTTTTCGCTTCGTCTATATATCGTACATCGTGTCCGCACGGTTACTCGGCCGCGTCTGATTAAACGACGTCTTCTTCCACTATCGATCGACGGTCGGCCGTGCGACAGTAGATTAATTTTCCTTTGAGCCGTCGTCACAGGCGCGCGGCAGAAATGTAAACAAGTGGATCTTAAGTGATTCAAAAGTCGATTGCAAATGAAATTTGTGTATCGAGAGCAACCGAAGCTCCCTCTTCCCCTTTCTATTTGTCACTCTCTCGCTTCATCTCTCTCTGTTTAGAATTGCTCGACTATCTTGGCGCGTCATCCGTTGCATCTAACTTTCTGTGTAACATATTCCTAAGGAGATGCCTTCTCAAGTTTCTCTTCGGGCTATCGTCGGGCGTAACCGACGTCCCTCGTCGCTGACGTGGAATTTAATTTCGCGCGCGAGACGTTGCTTGATACAAAACGTTGCAAGTGCATCGAGCCTTTCGGCGATAATGGGAAAGCGCGCGATGCACTAGCCTCCTCGGACGAGAGGCCGGCCGGTTTTAATTTTCGCGTATAATCGCACGCGACGAGAGAGTCAGCCGACGCGCTACATTTTTCCATTGAAATCCGTCTGTAATAAAATACGAGATGCGGGAAGCATAGTGGAACGATCGCGCGCAACTTTTACAATATATCTCACCCGCGCTGTGCGGCGTTCTATGAAGTAAAGGACGTAAATCAAAATATACATTCTACTTCTCGCGAGAGAGGCGAAAGAAGATTAAAAAATTAAATATTAAACAAATTTTGAGCCGTAGTTAATGTTTTAAAAAGAATTTTCCACACGTGCGGTCATATTATCTCAATTTTGACAGATGAGTCTAGTCTTTAGAAAGCACAAAAATCGAATGTACGAAATTCGAATAATTTCATAAAATATTTTTAGTCGAGATAATTTTATCGTAAATTAACGCGATTCTCTTTCTCCCCTTCTCTCTCTCTCTCTCTTTCTCCCTAAGCCTTTTACTTCATTAGAAATTCATTTATTTATGGACGTTCATAATCGCGATTGAGTTAATTGACGCTGGCATAAACACACTGCAGGTTTAGAAATTTAATCCATATTGTTGTTACGCGCGTACCCTTGTAACAAAGCTACTAACCAACTAATCAAACAAATATCATATAGCTGTGGTTTGTGTGTAAAATGAAATTCGAGCGAGATTATGATCGTCGTTAGAGAGCCGGCGCGAAATAATTTGTTTCATATACATTTGTTTGTGCGAAACAGTTAATCTTGCTTCGTGCTCTTAAGCTCGTTGATAAGAATAAGCCGGCGGAAAACCGATGTTAATGGATAGGATTGAGACCATATAGCGTACGGTATAACGTTTAATGCCGTAGCTTCCGAGAGAATAACCGCTCTGGCGAAGCCCGCCCAGCGTCCAACCGGTAGGGAAACGGATCTCCGAGAGGATGCCTTCACCGTGTCGCCGATGGCGTTAAAGGCGAGTTGCTCCAAGCGGCTCAAAAGACTGGCCAAACCGAAGACCTACCCGAAGCCCAAGTTCAAGAGATTGAGAACTGCTCTGCTCAAACGATGAAGCAGCCAATGAGCAGAAGAGAGAGAGACAGAGAGAGAGAGCTGTATGTGTACACCCGACGAAACTCGCGTTAATTCTCGGGCTTGTCTCGCGAATATAGAGTACGTTCATTAAAAATTCAGGGTATTTGTCGCAGTTTCTGCGTACGCACGTAATTTCGCAGGTGACAGTAGAATCACATGAATTCACAATTTTCCCAGAAAATATATATACTGTAACTGTAATAAATGGCAGCGTTTGGAAAACAAAAAGCACGACAATCATTCATAGTAGAAATCTAATAACTCCGAATACCACGGTAACCCGAATACCCATGCGTTTTCGTTTAATGGAATTCCGGTTGTACGGCTTGGGATCGCGTCGAATATTACCAGAATAATAATCCTGCACGCGAGATAATCGGTACGCACATCGTTATTAGCGCGCTTTTACACGGTTTCCATGTATTCGCTGGACATACGCTGATATACACATCGGGATATACACATTATTTCGCAAACGCTACGATTCGTCATGCGATACTGTGCACGCAATATATCAAAAAGCAGACGCGGGCCTGTCGCGTCGCATTATGCGCGAGCGTCCGCGTCGGCGGCAAAAGCGCGAGACATAACCGCGTCCGTCGACATCGTAAATTAGGCCAGCCGCTCGCTGCAATCTGCTCGCGCTCGGAACGGATTAACATTTTCGTAATGTCGCAACGACCATTCTGGTTGTCGCGTAACTTCGTAAAGACATTCCGCGCTCGCCGTGATACCCTTCTTGAAGAAAGACGAGAGCGTGGAACGGAATAACGCGGACGGTGGACTTTCAACTCGTTCTCGGTATTTTCTTATTTTGCGAAAGGAATGCGCGAGAAATACGACACACGCCCTTAACGCCCGGGGATATTAAAGGGACGTTTTCGCACGGCGCGAAAGAGGGAGAAAACATAACCGGGATTTCGCGTCGGAGAGATGATTCTCTCCATGTATGCGCGTGGAATGAATAATGAATAAAAAAAAAAATGAATAATAATTCGAGCATATGATATAATATCCGTAATATCCGTTTAATGATCCGCAAATAATTAGTTGTATTCATATTGATGTTGAATTATTTCGACAATATATGCACGCATGACTTGCTACGGTTCATACAATTCTTGATCAGTTATTCGATCAGAAATAGTGCAATCCGCATAATTATTAACTTAATTAATTATATCGAATTATTCGTAATTCCTCCGAGGGTCCCGAGCTCCTCTTCGCGCATTCCTCCGTCCCGCATTTTATTTTACTTCATTCGCCTGTCATGCCCATTTTGTACGTCCAGTGATACCCGTCCTCTTCCACCTAAATGATAGAGACATTAACATTCGACGTTGCGAAATTGCTTAATTAAAGGCACGTCGTACGCGCTTTTACCCTCCGTCGAGAAGTTAAAGGGGTACGGATGGTCTTTGAATTCCTAGTCGGAAGCAATTTTTCTTCGCCGTTACGCCCGACACTTTCCTAATTAACGTCTCGTTCTCGGGCTAATGGCGGTGTAAGGGGCGAATGGTCACCGGTACGTAAGTAAAGAACGCACTCGGCTCGACCTCTGGCCGGTGATCGATACTCTCTCGCCGTGTATTTCACGCGAATTCGCACGAATGCAACGATAAGCGAATTTTGATCGCCGATATACAAATACAGCACTCGTTCATGATAAGCTGTGTGCTAAAACCAGCCGGTTTTGCATACCGTTATTACACACGCACACATTGTTTCCTCCCGCCCGTCTAGCATTTATATCCCAGTTTATAGGAAACTGCACGATGCATATCGCGCGAGTACAATCGGCCGTGCTTTAATAGCGAACGATCCATCTAGCGAGGTGATTAATTGAACGCTATTGACATTTAATTGTTAATACATACGAGCTCGCTGCCATTAAAACATTAAGTTTTCATATTACGTTCCTCAATCGGTCTACAAACTCGATTACCCAATCAAGTCGGATACATTTATTGACGAAAATTAGAAGGCTACAAAGGATAAACGATCTACTGCGGAATTCTCGTTAAATCGAGACTAGAAATTCGTCGAATCTATCACAGTGTCCGCCATTGAAATTTATTGCGGTGAAAAAAGACGCCAGCGTATAGATTCTAATATAAATTGACCAGTCTGGCAAATTCGTTATATCCCGAAAAAGTACACGCGCGCGCTCACACACGCACACTTTCTTGACAGTCCCTTTCATCACGCGGAAAGCGATTGATAACAAACCCTATCGCGTGCAAAGGGAATCAAAGGATCGAAAGGCCAGCTTTAATGCATGGGTATAGACTCGCACTAAAAATTCTAACTTTGTCCGAAAGCAAATTTTGTTTCAAAGGGCAACCGATATCCTCTCCTCCTACCTACCTCCCTTCGCCATCCTTCTCGCCCCGCTGCCGTTTGATCTGGCGAAATCCGGACCGCGTCAGTCAATAGAGACAGCGAAACGGGAATATGAAAAATGGATCCGAGGGGGTTAAAGCGATTCGAGCCGCGTCAGATGCGACGGTTTTGTCGGCGGTCGAATCGCGACAAGACACAGGAGCATTCAGCGGTGGCGGCAGCGGCGGCGGCGAAGGGCCGGAGGAGGAACGGAAGAACCTTCGCAAATACACTCCGCGGTCGGCTTACGACGGATCGACCGCACGGTCGCCGCATGGCCCGTACGGAATATAAATGTAAACGGCGGGAATATGCGGCCGATCCGCTCGCAATTCCATTCACGTCCCGACACTCCTACGCCCCGGCTGTCACCGTCCGACCAGAATCGCGCGGCGATCCCCGCGTTTGATCCCCTCCCCTCGCTCCCGCAAATCTGCATCCCCTTATCGGAGCGAGAGTGCGTTCGGCAACCCGAAACTATGCGCGGCAGCTACTCGCGGTCGTCTAATTCAGTGCTTCTCAAACTGGGTTACGCGACAATAAATCCGTGGTACGGTTAATTTTGTCTCAGTTCGATTTAAACGCGTGCATCTTATACAATTTCGGACGCGGCTCCACTGACACAATTGATGTTATTTCCACTCACGTGGTTGTCTAAACTCTGAAAGTAACGTCAACTCCTTTAATTTTATCATCGCGTATAATATAATCGTTTCTTATTACGTTCGCAATCGAACTTAATTTGATGTAATTAGTTTTTATTATACATATTTAACACAGTTAGAAAATAGAGTAAATATTATTCTTGCGAAATTTGAGAAACACTGACTTAAATCGCTCGAAAGACAAATACGATGCACGTTAAAGTTGGAATTTATGTACTCTCCGAATATTTTTGTAACGGGGATTATACGTTTCGTTTGTTTCATCTACCCAGTCTCCCAAATCTCTTATTCCATCCAGTGAATCATTACGATGTAGCGTATGATAAATGTGTAAGAGGTAACTGAGAGTTGAGAGTTCTCTTCTCTGAAAACGACTCTCAATAAATTTACTCAACTGCGAGAAACTTTTACGTAGGTATATATACGCGAACTTAACTTTGAAATTATGTATGATTGGCTCTAAAGGGATGCGTCTAAACTATAAATTTCAGCTTGCGTGATGTAAACTATGATGTAAACTAATACGGTGAAACATAATAAATATGATTTCGAAGTTATGGCATTTTTATGAACATTAAATTTACTCGGAGCGAGAAAATGAGATGTCTGTACGATTTCGTAAATGGAAAAGAAGTTCGTGGGAAAAAGTGGTAGAATGCACGGAGGAGCACTCGCGAGAGGTCTCAAAATGAATATTCTCAAGGAAATGATATTTCTAACAAACTTTTCCCGTATAAAATAACAGGAACTCGCACTCGCGTTTTAAGATAATTACTATTTTGCATTTTGTTATAATACTAGAACAAAATAGCTGAAATGTACGAGTTAAAATTAGAAATAAATATCTGCGGAATATCACATCTGGAACGCAATATCGAGAATGCGGTCATCGCTTTGTCGTACTGCTCGCACGATGGATTATATTGATTGAATAAATCTATCGAAATTTCTCTTTTTAATAAATTACCAACGTATAAAAGCTATAAATTATGCTACGCGATTGATAAATATTAAAATATGAGATTAATTATGGCAGTACGCGCTAATTAAAACGCGTTGCGACGTTGTTCAACTTGGAGTCGATTCGTTCCATAACAGTGACATTTTGCTAATTAATTAATTAATAATTAAGACACGATTGATCGAGAAAATTAATCTAAATTCTGCATGGCAATCATGACATGTACATACAATACTCTTACACGTAAATACTGTGAAATGCGCATATTGAAAAATAGTCGATATACGACTTGAATTCGATTCGATGATTCAATCCGAAAATAATGAGCAGATTACACTCAAACTGGCAATAAATTTAAAGCGCAACATGGAATATATTTCACGCATCATTAAAGGAATAATTATCGCTTTTAAGTATTGTAACAAAATAATTTATAATTCCGATCTACCATTATCGTTTCGATTCCTAAATACTTCAAATGAATAAATCATGTGTAATACCTACTTAAACAGTCGCCTGCAATAAGCTTATGAATCATTAAATTTGAGAGTTAATTAATCATGCGGTTTATTGTTAATCGTAACAATTATGGGAAATGATCGCATTTTAAAGGATATTAACGATAGTACGCAGAGCGACGTAATATTTAATATTTCTTGCGGAATAAAAACGCCGAATATTCACTTCCTTGACTATTAAATATATTCATTTCGATGAACGAATTTATTATCGCTCGTTTTATGCTTTATTACTCGTCTACGGTAACGTTTAATTCCATTCGCTTGAGCGCGTTTTAGAAGTCTTACATATATTGTTACTCGAATCCAGGGTGCTTCAATTTGATTAATGTGTTTGCATGTGTGTATTGTATAAATACGTTTGTGTCATTTGCCATACCCGAAATTAATCCCAACTCGAATTAACACGTTTCAAAGTTAAGAGCCCGGCGTATAATTATCGCGACACCGTGCACCGGCCAGCCGAGCTTGTTCGACGAGTTCGTGTCATTCGCTCTCGATCGCTACTTGAGCGACGGTCGCGCTAAAACGCGGTTGACGCGCTTCCGCGATAAACTCGTACCCCGAGAACGTACGATCACGCGAATTGCGGTTGAGACCCCGCACAAATTTCGATCTCGGAGCTGTTAATGCTCCACGCGAAAACTGGGTGAGAGGGCGAGCAGCTACGAGGGAGCGAGAGAGCAAGCAGGGTAATTACAT